CTCTCTCTCTCTCTCCTCTTCAGAGCTCTCAGTTGCCCTGATGCTGACCCTGACTCCCACGCCTCCTCCTCCTCCTCCTTCTCTGATTCAGCTACTGGAGGTGCTGGTGGCTGACAGACCACAACATCCATTTTGGGAGTAGCCAAAAATAAAGCAAATTTGGCCTAACACCTTGAATGAAAGACCAATGAGTCTTTGACTGTCCTGAATCAATGTGTTGCAAATGCATAGCTCATCAGTTGGGTTATGGATTTAGAAGGCATAGGTTCCTCTTCTTTTCATAGAACATAGGATAATAGGGTTAGAAGGGACCTTGGAGGTCATCTAGTTCAAACCCCTACACATGGCAGGAGATCTGGACTTGCTTTGGGCTTGATGGGATAGAGCCACCTGATTATAGAAAGAATAACAGAATAACAGAACAGAATAATAGCATTGGAAGGGACCTCAGAGGTCATCCAGTCCAAACCCCTGCTCATGGAGACCTTGTACCATTTCAAACAAATGGCTGTCCAGTATCTTCTTAAAAATCTCCAGTGTTGGAGCCCCCACAATGTTTGAAGGCAAGCTGTTCCACTGGTTAATTGTCCCCACTATTAGGAAGTATCTCCTTAATTCCAAGTTGTTTCTCTCCTTGATTAGTTTCCATCCATTCTTTCAAGTCTTGCCCTCTGGTGCTTTGGAAAATAAGTTGACCCCCTCTTCTTTGTGGCAGACCCTCAAATACTGGAACACTGCTATCATGTCACCCCCTAGTTCTTCTTTTCTCCAGACTATCCATACCCAAATCCTGCAACTATTCTTCATACGTTTTAGTCTTCAGGGTTTTAATCATCTTAGTTGCTCTTCTCAACACTTTTTCCAAAGTCTCAATGTCTTTTTGGTAATGTGGTGACCAAAACTGGATGCAGTATTCCAGGTGTGGCCTTACTAATGTTTTATTAGTTCTGAATCATTTTGATTAGTTCTGGAACCCTGAAGGACCCAAAATGAGAAAAGACATGGTGCCAATGATAATATCAACAGTTTGTCAATAAATCTGGGGCAGCCAATGAGCTCTTCTTTGAAGTTCTGGTACAACCACTGTTATAGTCGGGCAGAGATGAATTTTATGACAGCAAAACACCCCCATGTGCTTCCCTCTTGCCATCCCCTTCTCAATCCAACCTCATCTGGTTGGAAATGTTCCTCCTTCAAGCCTTTCCTGGCCTCAGGTCCTAGGAAGCTCCAAACTTGGAGCCGATTGGTAAGTTTTACTGGCATTTCCAGATCTCATTAACAGGCAAACGTTTACTTGCCCAATGCTGCTGTAAATTAGGAAGGGTGGTATCTCCTCTAGGAAAACTGGAGAGAGAGTTGGATCACTCGGGCCTGCCCTTCCTTAATTGCAAAACCCCATTGTTCTGTGAAAGTATGAAATTTGTAGGTGGCAGATCCAGGGTAGGTAAGTAAGGTGTGTCTTCACATCCTACACACTTGCTTCTTCAAAGTTTAGCAATGCAATGTTTGCGGATGGGTCTACCACTGGCCAATGAGGAACCTCCATGTGCAGATGCAGTATACATCTAACTGGCATTGCCTGAAAGGATGATGGTCCTGCCCAAGAGATGGTCCCACCATGATATGCAAATATATTAGAATAACAGAATGACAGAGGTCTTGGAGATCTTCTAGTCCAGCTCCTTGCTCAGGCAGGAAACCCTATACCATTTCAGACAACTGAGTGTCCAGTCTCTTCTTAAAAACTTCCAGTAATGGAGCACCCACAGCTTCTGAATGAAAGCCATTCCACTGATTGTTCTCATTGTCAGGAAATTCTCCTTAGTTCTAGGTTGCTTCTCTCCTTGATTAGTCTCCATCCATTGCTTCTTCTCTTGCCTTTTGGTGCTTTGGAAAAGAAGCTTGACTCCCTCTTCTTTGTGGCAGCCCCTGAGAGATTGGAACACTGCTATCATGTCTCCCCTAGTCCTACTTTTCACTAGACAAAGAAATGTTATGTCTCACCTTTCTTCTTTCCAAAAAAGATGAAAGAGAACAAACTCACACAAACACAGGCAGGCAAGCCGACTCGGACTTTACAGAGTTAATCCTTTATACTGATAATGTCCTTGGCATTCCAACACACTCTGCCTGCCAAGTCCGAAAAGATAACAAGAAAAACTACTCACTGAAGATTCCAAAGCAGACCACAAAAAACAGTCACAACGAAACCTGGAAGAGAAGTAAACTTAGTCCCGTACAAAGTTTTCGGAGAAAACACACCCACTTTTATCCCCTGTGGGGTGTGTCTCAATGACTCAGCTCACTCTCTGACCCTTCCACGCCTCCTACGTTGCTGCTCACATTTCTTCCTACGACGCTGCCTAGGATCAAGCCAACATTCGTCCACTTGACTCCCTGTCAGGGGCTGCTCCGATATGCCCTCATCCTCCTGATTAATCTCAGGCTGTTCCTCTCGGTTGTCTGCTGAAACCTGAGGCATTATCAGGGAGGAAGGCATTGGCAGAGAGGAAGGTCCTGGGGAGGAAGGCATTCCCAGTTCCTCCTCCTCATCTTCCAGGTCCTCTTCCTCTAACAGCACAGGCTCGGGAATCGGAGCCACAACAAAGACATATCCAATTCCTTCAACCGTTCTTCATGTTTTAGCTTCCATTCCTCTCGTTATCTTTGTTGCTGTTCTTTTCACTGTTTCCAGAGTCTCAACAACTTTTTTTTAATATCAGTTCATGTCCACATTTATAGAACAGAGAGAGATTCTCCTTCTGATGGAAAGGTCTACAGCAGACACAGAGTGTGGTGAAAACACTACAATTTGTCGATCTTTTTAATTATCCCCAGCTGTCTTGATTTATCCTGCCTGCCAAGAGCAGCACTTGTGGTTTAGGCTTGGCTTTATCTCATTTATCAAAACAGCTTCCAGGATTTTGAACAACTATAGCCTGGCTTTGAAAGGGAAGTGCTAGATGGGAGTGCTACTTGCTCATATGATTTAGCCTCCAGATGCTCTATCATTTTGGTTGCTTTTCTCTGCTTGTTTTGTGTTGTTTATCAGAGGGAAGTGAAGGAAAGGGAAGGGGAGGGGAGAGGAGATAAGGGAGTGGGGAGGGGAGGGGAGGGGAGGAGAAGAGAAGAGAAGAGAAGAGAAGAGAAGAGAAGAGAAGAGAAGA